GTATTTCTGGATTATTTTTGTTGTTATTCTGTCTCTCACTGTTCAAATAAACCTACCATTAAAATTATAGACTGATAATTTCTTTGTCAGTTGGCAAATCAGCAGGGGATCAAATACCTTTTTCCCTCACTGTACATTCCATTACAGCTGCGCCATCGTAGGTTTGAACTGCAAGTTTCTCCATGAAGTTAAACTCAGACATCTCAAAATTCACAAAGTCAAACACAGACTGCGCATCTCGCACACTTGACACATCAAAGTAGCCCAAGAAACGTTCCTGAATAAAGCCGTGATCATCCACATACCTGACGATAACTGACAATTGCAAGCAGACTGGTGGCACCATAGGTCCCAGAGTGGTGGGGCAATTTTTACCCCCTTGGGCCCGAAGTTTTTCCTTATCTGTTAACCTAACCAGGAAAATGCTGGACCCTATAAGGTATGACAGTGATTAATCAGTTGTAAAAAGGTTTTATAAGGGCAACCAGTTTTCCTAATCGGGTCACATGGTTTAAAAAAACTCCTGAAAAGAACTCCTGGCCCTGGGGGGGATGAAAACCCTGTCAAACTGCAGCAACCTTATACTTGTTCATATGGTTTATATTTAGACTAGATTAGGAGGGGGATTTCCTCTACCCAGACCCTGGGACAACAACTGATAGACAATAGAACTCACAGGGCTGAGCTTGCTTTATGCATGTTTGCGTCATGCATGCCAATGCAACTTTAGACTTTGTAAAACAGTAACTCACATCTGTCTTCACTATTATGTTGATTGATTAATTCCAGTTAATAATTTTGGATTGGAAAGAAACGTATAGGCAGCCTAACCAGCCCAATTTTGAATATAAACCAAATTTTATCACATTCACATTTTCTCCTGGCACACAAATGGACTATAAATGCATAACGTTATCAATTACTTTACCAAATGGACAGGGCACATAGGCTGTATGCAGCTGCTCTCATTAGTAGCCTACAGTTGATCAGAATGAAAAATCGTCTCGTTTTCATCCCATACAGCATGTCAGATCTCTCATGTTCAGCTGCTTGGGTCTGTCCGGAGTGATTATGTGTTTATCATCTTTGCTAAATAAATAACGGAGGAAAATGGAAAGCCTACTTGAGCACGCGAAAAACATGTGCAGTGCCAACCTCACTCTTTAATCTAACTTTTAATGGATGATGCGATGGAAGTTATCAAATCATTCATAATTGATTTTGACATCCCAGAAAAGACAGTCGAAAGTTCCATATGCTCAGCAAGTAAAGCATCGTAACGTGCAATTACCGCTGCAAGCTCCTTGTAGTTGCCCTTGTTGGTGGAACTTTCCCTCTCGTCATGTCCTCTAAAAGCCAATTCTTGCATGCCCCAAAACACAGTGCTGTTGATAAGCCGCTTGAGAACCTCCCTGTTTCTTCTTACTTTCTCGTTGTGTTACACAGTTTGAATATGCAGACCTTCGTCATGATCGATGCGGCTTTTCCCCAGAAGCTTGAATCTGATGTGGGCATGTATGTGCTCCCTGCTTTTGTTTTGCCATTTTGCTGAACGACCAATGTTCTTCAGGTCACTGTACCCCCCTTTCGCCCAAGGCTTTCCAAAAAGCAAGGCCAGCAATACAGGTGGCTTGATGAAAGGCTCCCTGTTAACCAGCTATACTTTTGATACCAGTTGGTATTGAACACTCTCACCTTTTCATCCTTCTTCATGAAACTGATCTCAGGCAGAGGTCACCAATTCACCAAGTTTCTAAACACATAGACCCCCCCCCCCGCAAAAGCTTTGATTGGGTGGAGGTCGTCCTCCAGAAGCGGTCATAATTACCATGTAGGTCTATAGAAGGGGGTGCCTACAAGCCTTTTAGGTTTTGGATTGAAGTCAATGTACCCAGAGGAGGACAGAAGCTAGCTGTCTTCTGGCTACACCTTGGTGCTACCCCAGAGAGTGCTGTTGAAGTTACTATATGTGGCATATTGATTTGAAAGGAGTTGTGCGCAGGAGGGTAAATCACAGAATAAAAGGGTTTATTCCGAAGGCACAGCGGTACGCAGCAATGCGTCAAACACTCCAGTGCATAATCAGGCGTACTGGGAAACTACAAGGCACACGGGTGACATATCCCGGCGATACAAAATACATGGAGCTCCACCGAGCTAAACTAACCTCCACAATAAACAATCACACACAAAGACAAGGGGGCAGAGGGAACACTTATACAGGTACTGATGAGGGGATATGAACCAGGTGTGTGTAATAAACAAGACAAAAAAAATGGAATGATGAGATGAGGAGCGGCAGTGGCTAGAAGGCCGGTGACGACGAACGCCGAAGCCTGCCCGATCAAGGAGAGGAGGCAGCTTCGGAGGCAGCTGACATATGAATATATTTAGTTTATTTTATCTAAAAATGATAACTTTTTTAGTGTTTCACCATTTTTTATTTTTATGAAAATTCATTGAAGAGGATGGTCCACCCCTTCCTCCTCTGAGGAGCCTCCACTGCTAACCGTAGCGCGAAAGCTAAACAGGGTTGCCAGATATGGGTGAAATCATTTTAGGGGGGTTCATTTCATTTGTGGGAGATTTGAAGTCCATGGGGGGTAGAAATAGGGGAAGGTATTGTGGGGAGATATGATGCAGGAAATATTACTATGATGGAGGATTTATCAATAAATGGGGGGCAAACACAGGAGGAGTTAATAAGAGTCTGAGCTGGCAATCCTGAGTAACGATAATTACAATCTAAGTCAGTCGAGTGAACCATCCCTTCACCTCGTTTTGTTATAACATCTTTGGTCTGACAGACGTTTACGTGAAAACCAGAATGCATTGTATGATGTCAACAAACATGGCGCCACACATAGCTGGCATTTAGTTTAGGATTAGCTCATCATAATCAGTACAACCTTCCAAAAAGTATTTTACACACATCATATGTATCCATTACAATCTATGAAGAACCGGAATGCATGATTTGTCACCAGTACTTCAAAATATGTAAATAAAACAGTAAACACATTATGCTCCATACATACATACGGTGTGGTGTGCTACAGTAGAAATGACAACATGATATACAGAGACTATAATGATAACGTAATAAGGTACTTACTTTGATAGGAACGCACACATGTCCAAAGTTATTATTAGTAAGGAAAACAACAATGAAGGCAATGCGGGCGCCAGCCAGAAAATGTGCCAGGGGGAAAAAGTCTGTGCAGATTTTGTTCTGACTGGAGATGCGCAAATGTCTGCATACTTGATCTGGGGAAATACTGGGGAAGTGCTTGGGCTCTCATCGAAGAGAGAAGTTTGTCCGGCTCAGTAAAGCCTCAAACATAAATTGTCTGCAACAGTGAAATGGGCTACTTCTATGTGAATTAATGAGGAGGCGGAACACACCTCAAATCAAACTGTTGTTAGAAAATGTTGTTATTGAAGAAACTCACTTGCTATGGCTTTACATCACCTGCCATCCCATGGTTGGAGAGTTATTTATCCAATAGAACCCAGAGAGTGTTCTTCAATGGAAGCTACTTTAACATCAGATATGTACAGTGCGTGTCCCTCAGGGAAGTTGCCTTGGGCCACTGGTCTTACACAAAGCTAGAATGATTATGTATGCGGATGATTCCACACTCTACATGTCAGCACCCAAAGCCAGTGAGCTCACTGAAATTCTAATTAAGGAGTTACAGTCAGTATTAATAATAAACTGGTCTTATATACATCTAAAACTAAAAGCATTGTATTTGGTTCAAAATGTTCTCGAAGACCTAAACCTCAACTGGAGTTGTGTATGAAGGGTGTGACCATTGAGCAAGTTGAAGAAGCTAAACTCGTTGGTATAACATTGGATGGTCAATTATCATGGTCAAGTTATATTAACAAAGTTGTTATAAAGATGGGGAGGGAAGAGTGTGCAAAGCTGTCATCAAGGCAAAGTGTGGCTATTTGAATTTGTATAACACTTTTTGGGTTACTATATGTTTCCATATGTGTTATTTCATAGTTTTGATGTCTTCACTACTATTCTACAATGTAAAAATAAAGAAAATACTCTTGAATGAGTAAGTGTGTCCAAACTTTTGACTGGTGGTGTATATATATAGAGCTAGTGACAGATTATAGCTCTGGTCCAGGGCCTTAGAGCACTACAGGCACCCATACCAACTGAGACGCAAGAATACCATCTGAGACGCATGCGCTTTGAGGTTCGAAGACCAGGTGGCCTCAGCGTGCATAATCTGCAGCAGGATTCTTCCCTGTTTTTTGGGGTACCTGTTTGTGGTTGTTTGAGGTTGTTTGCGTTACCTATTTGTGGTTGTTTGGGTTACCTGTTTGTGGTTGTTTGGGGTACATGTTTATGGTTGTTTGTGGTTGTTTGGGGTGATTAGTAGGACCCCATATTTCTGATTTGGGGTTATTTGGGGTACTTGTTTGGGGTTGGCATATCAATTGAATTTATAGAATGGGCTTGGAACCTCTAACGCTGGCAATTTGACTGGCAAACTCATGGGTTCACTCACAATGGCTGCCTGGTATTGTGATGCAATCATTTCCATGGTCATGTAGAATGTTCATTCAAATTATGTTAACTGATTTTAATCAACAAATACACATCACATATTGATGGGTACACTTCCTGCTTTTACTTCCTGCTTTGCTCCTATGGGTATACTCGCAATGGCCACCAGTCCACCCATTATGCCATCATCATCGACTTCAATGGGGACGCCATTTCTATTCATTCTATTTCTATGGTTTGTGTTTGTTTGCGGTGTTTGGGGTCGTTTGGGGTACATGTTTGTGGATGTTTGGGGTAACTGTTTGGGGTACCTGTTTGTGGTTGTTTGGGCTGATAAGTAGGACACAAACATGTAGTGCCCAGGGATGTCCTGACAATAGCTGATCAGAAAAATATAGGGCCCAGGGTTGTCCTGTCAGTACTGAGAGTGTAACAAATTGTATGTTGTCTTCGGTGTGTTCTATTTCAGATGGGAATCACGTCCAGGGATAACTCCACCCCGGTGTTCCTGTCTCAAAACATCAGCCACCACCTGACTGGCACCGCACGCACCATAGGAGCTGCACTGGTTGGACACTTTGGTAAACACCAAACCATTCATTCAAATTAATGTGGTGGACTTAACTGTTGTGGAAGACGTGTGAAGTTGTATTTGTGTAAAGGGAAACTTTAGTATTCGGATCATATTATTTTCTAAGACTAACAAAATACACAGTGAACTGTTTAACTCTTTACACTCGTGGGAATTGGCCTATATGGATAGGGCTAAATTGAAATGTTTCTTACAGAAGAAATATGAAATGCATAACCATGGTAGCAATTGAAAGGGAACAGTTTGGAGATAAGGTGAGTACACAACAGTTCACCTGACACAAGGCTGAATCCAAACATGGCACTGTTGATTTTATGTGCATTTTACATTTACTGTACTTTTCGCCGCATTTGTTGATCACGAAATCTGAAAATACACTGGATATATTCAGTAACATTTCCTGGAAAATGTGGGGTAGGTGCAACATAAGACAACAAAATGACAAGGGTTTGAGTGAGAGGACTAACTGGTGTCTCCAAGTGACCACACACCTCTCCAAAGTGTGCACAGTTCCTAAGCAATTTTTATGACTCAAAGAAGAGTCTTTAACTATAAGGTACTTTCTTGAGCTCTCCTAGCTGTGCCGTTGAGGAACTAGAGCAAGCACACTTGTAGTTGTTTTGTTAGGAACACAACTCTGCATCCCCGCCATCACACAATTACTGTTGTTGTTTACGCAATCCAAAAAGTGTCTATTATAAATCGCAATATGGGTCAGGTGGGCATGATTTGAAAGCCTGTGCTAATGCCAACATGACTAGCTAAGTTATAAAATACGATCTTACAGTGCTAGGCTTTCACAAGGCAATTCACAGAAACAGATCGTAATTTTGGTGCGCATAGAAAGGAGTCATGAGTGCATTCAGGGACGTGTGAATTTTCTTCACAATAAATAAACATATAAGGTCATTCTGTTCAGAACAGCCCAGGGTATGATGCAGTGGCGGTCAGTGCCGTTTAAGATGAGGGACGCCAATTTTTTTTTTTCATGACCCTGGCCTTATTTCTATTACAGCATATTGGATGACTCTCATTCATATTCCATTCACCCAGTTCAATGTAACAGCAATAGGTTTAGGCTACTACATGATACTCACATTTTCCCTATACCCATCATGAGGCTGCTACAACCTATGAATAAAAGTTTACAACGTTGGTGCACACAGGTCGAGAGACAAATTTGAGGTGACAGACAGTGACACATGGACAGACAGTGACATTCAATACCGCCTTTTGCAAACTCTTGCCTGCATCTAGCTGATATTGGGTGTAACCATTAGTCCAACAGTTGCAAACGAGAGTTTCTATTGGACAAATTCAGGTATGTTTATCCCCGTTTTGTTCCATTTGCTTCCAAATAAGAAAGGTTTTTCAACAGAATCAGCGGAATGAATACACCCCTGATCACGCGTAAACACAGTTCACTTTCATAGCAGCCACTTTGTATTCCTTCTCACATCTATGCACTTTCCTCCTCTCACCTCTTCCCTTAGCTTGTAGACTTCAATGCACAACACATCAGCTGTATGTGACCAGGTGAAAAAAACCTTTCCAAGCCAAACCGCTACACACAGCCTACATTGTTGTCATCATATTAGCTAAAGTAACGTCATAGTCAGCATAGCTAATAGAACTAACGCTTTAGTAAATCCGCTACAATCATGCAGTAACATTACAGTGTACAGTCAGTAAGCAGTTACACTGGCGGGCCCAAGTGGCAATAAATTAGTAATACCAAAAGCTTACCTTGACTTGGTAGAGTTCCATTGTTGAGTTGGAAAGTCATAGCCAGCTAGCTTACATAGCATCACTCTGTTTGAGCAGGGTGTTTCAGTAGGCTAAACTAGCTAGCTGCATTTTCTAGCTAAGTAAGTGAAACTGAAAGTGAAAAAAAATGACAAATTCTTTCTCTCTCTATTTCTCTCTTGCTTCTGCTTCATTTTGGAAGAAATTAATTTGTTCAGAACTGTTCAACTATTGTCTTTCACTCTCTTTGAGTCAACTACTCACCACATTGTATACACTTCAGTGCTAGCTCTTGATGCTGCAAGAGCTCTGATAGGCTGGAGGACGTCCTCCGGAAGTTGTCATAATTACTGTGTAAGTCTATGGAAGGGGGTTAGAACCATGTGCCTCCTAGGTTTTGTATTGAAGTCAATGTACCCAGAGGAGGACGAAAGCTAGCTGTCCTCCAGCTACACCATGGTGCTACAGAGTGCTGTTGAGGCTATTGTAGAACTTCTTTGCAAAATAGTGTGTTTTAATCAATTATTTGGTGACGTGATTATATTTAGTATAGTTTTATCTAAAAAGGATAACTTTTTTTATGTTTTACAATTTAAATTTTTATGAAATTCACTGAGGAGGATGGTCCTCCCCTTCCTCCTCTGAAGAGCCTCCACTGGTATGATGATATGTCATCTTGTAACTGTACATCAAACATAGTGATCATAAACGTTGACACTGTATATGACATGAGTTTTATGATTTGGAGATGTGAAGTGTACATTTGGACTCACGGGTGTTTGGCTTGCTTTTCTTACATCAAAGTGGTATTTATTATAATCCTCAACATCTCATCTTTCAAAATACATAGAGTCATCTTCATTTACAGCATTTTCCTCACTCAGACAACAAAACATTTGCAAAAGTTGCCCAATTACCGGGAGGGATGGGGTCAACATCTGAGTGAGGGAAATGCTGTGAATTAAGATGTCTCGATGTGGTGTTCAAGTTTAGAACGGCTGTCAGCCAGAACACATTTGGTGCTGTGAAGCGCAGAGCCAGAGCTCTGATATCATGTATAGCATGTTATTGTTCAGCCACTAAGTTCAATTTTAGGTGTTTATTAGTGCCCAAATCTGCCATTTCCAACCCATATACAGGTATGAGTGTAAAGGGTTAAGAAATGTAAGTGTGCTTTCATCAGAGGTCAATTTGTATGGTGCTATTAACTGTTTACAGTATACAGTTTGAACGTGTGTTGTGGTGTCGGTCAGGAGTGCGGACGTTCGCTCCCAGCAGCGCAGGGGACGGCTTTCTGTACCTTGGTGGGCCGGCGGTGATCCTAAGTCTGGTTGCTATGGCGACAGATGACGGAGCGCTGTACGCGGCAGTGAAAGTTCTGCTGTCTGTGTTGGAGACCAGCCCTGCCATGCAGCGGGAGATGACACGCATCAATGGCTACAAGGTAGGTTCATTAGGCACCAATTGGAATAAAACGGACTGATACGGAGTGATTACCTGGACTTCTCTTGTTTTCCACTGCATCCCCTAATGAACACAACCCAGTCAGGTCTCTAAGTAATGGAATGGATAGAATTATGCTGCTTCATGACATACAAATCTGTACAGCCCAAACTTCTGGATGCCCCCAAACGTAGATGACAATAATTACATTAAAATGTGGTTGCCTTGGGATGATGACTCTGATCCCCATCTCCTCCTCACTGTCTCTAGCTCCTAGCATTCCTGCTGAAGATTAAGAGTGGTGTGTTGAGCAGTAGAACCTTCCAGCTGGTGCTGTCTCTGTCTGGTTCAGTGGACCACCTGGGATCTGGAGCCGTTTCTCTACACAACAGACCCGCCTTCAACGCCCTGCTCTGTGACCTGGAGGTACCATACTCACACCAGCCCCACACCAACCCTACATTCACAAATCAACTCCTAGAGCCTATACCTAGACACCTCCCGTTAGATATAGACTGAGTGTACAAAACACTAGACTGACCAGGTGAATCCAGGTGAAAGCTTTGATCCCTTATTGATGTCACTTGTTAAATCCACTTCAGTCAGTGTATATGAAGGGAATATGACAATTGAGCCTTGGATTGTGTATGTGTGGTATTCAGAGGGTGAATGGGCAAGACTTAATATATAAGTGCCTTTGAACAGGGTAGGTGCCAGGCGCACCCATTTGAGTGTATCAAGAACTGCAACACTGCTGGGTTTTTTATGCTCAACAGTTTCCTGTGTGTATCAAGAATGGTCCACCACCCAAAGGACATCCAGCCACTTTGACACAACTGTGGGAAGCATTGGAGTCAATATGGCCCAGCATCCCTGTGGAGCGCTTTTGACACCTTGTAGAGTCCATGCCCGGACGAATTGAGGCTGTTCTGAGGGGGAGGGGGTGCAACTCAATATTTGGAAGGTGTTCTAACATTTGATCCTTCCCTTGAAGGTGTGGAAGAACACTCCGGAAAGTCTGGACCTGTCAGTTCTCGATCACCTTGCTGAAATCCTGAAATCATCAAGGTACAGGAACTTCATGAGCCATCAAAAATAAATGTTGTGCTACCCTTGTTGAAATTACACACTTACTTTACTTCAACCACAAGTAAATTGAACAATGAACTGCTGCACCTTCCCCCACCCTTTCCCCCAGTGGTGACCATGGTAATGCAAAGGTCATGCACAACCTGGGTCTGGTGCCTATACTGCTCTTCCTATTGGCTGACCCAATGGTGACCCCCAGGAAAGTCAAGGTCACCACCTGTATCATCACTCGCCTGCTCAGAGGACACTTCACCTCGACCGACATACGCAGGTACACACACACACACACATCTGTGTCACAGGCATATGCAGTACACACACAGAAACTGCTCATCAGTGTTTCATTTTAGCGTTGTCTTTTACGGGACAGCCACTCACTCTTCTTACTGTGCTGGGTGTATGTCACTAGTGTACTAAGCCAAGTGTGTGTTTTCTATTTGTTCCAGCCTTGGCCTCTTCCTGGTGTACACCGTGCCTCCCCCAAGTGTGAGTGAAAGCTCTGGACTCTCTGACTCTCTTGATGAGGAAACCAAAGGTACAGCCCCACAAGTTACAAATAGCTCTATTCCAGTCCAGCCTAATCATAGTGTTTGTCAACAGACTGTGGGATGCGACGATGAACAAGGAACTTTGTTCATCATTCTAGTATCGTCTAACACGTCTCCCCCAGAACTTAATCGAGCATCTGACGCCACATTTTAGTTCTGGGTTTCCGAGATTAAGTTCAGCCTAGCCTAACCCTAAACACATCCTTAACGCCCCCGCTGAAATCGAATTAGCATAATAATAAAAAATCCCCCTCAAAATCTGTCTGTTTAAGTTAGAGATATCTGTTTTTTTTGCAATCCACCGCATCCACCAATGTCAGCCTTCCGCATCTGCGGTGGAAGGTGGCAGAGCAATAGCGGTGTTTGTCAGACCAGGAGACATCCTGAAAATCGGTCTTCTCACGAAAACGTCTGTAGCGTCCAAACGGTTTGGCCTACAAACTAATATGTCCCCTCTATGGAAAGCCGAACACAATGGTGTCCTATGCTTTGCTCTATGACCCCCACAAGAGTCACAAGACTTGTCTGAAGGTAGCCTGGTACCAGTTTAAGACCGCCGGTCTGCCAACTTCTGTCTGTAGCGTCCGAACAGTTTAGGCTACACACTAATATCACCCCACCATCGAAAGGTGAGACTCTCACGAACATGTTGGTTGTTTTGCTCTAGGACATCCACAAGCCTCACAAGACTTGTCTGAAGGTAGCCCGGTACCAGTAAAACAATTATGGAAGTACAGTATACACTTAGTGTACAAAACGTTAAGAACACCTGCTCTTTCAATGACATAGACTGACCAGGTGAATCCAAGTGAACACTATGATCCCTTATTGATGTTACTTGTTAAATCCACTTCAATCAGTGTAGATGAAGGGGAGGAGACAGGTTAAAGAAGGATTCTCAAGCCTTGAGACAATTGAGACATGGATTGTCTGTGTGCCATTTGGAGGGTGAATGGGCAAGACAAAATATTTAAGTGCCTTTGAACGGGGTATGGTAGTAGGTGCCAGGCGCACCAGTTTGAGTGTGTCAAGAACTGCAACGCTGCTGTCACGCCCTGGCTCTGGGGACTCTTAAATGTTGAGCCAGGGTGGGGAGTTTCTATGTTGTATTTTCTATGTTGTGTTTTCTAGATCGTGTGGATCTATGTTGGCCAGGGTGGTTCCCAATCAGAGGCAGCTGTAACTCGTTGTCTCTGATTGGGGACCATACTTAGGCAGCCTGTTTGGCACTAGTCGGTGTGGGATCTTGTTCCGTTAAGGTTTGTTTTGTGTAACCTAGGACTTCACGTTTCGTTTGTTTGTTGTTTTGTCGTGAGTTAAGTACTTAATAAAATGTACGCTTATCACGCTGCGCCTTGGTCCGTATCTTCCATAAACGATCGTGACAGCTGCTTGGATTTTCATGCTCTACAGTTTCCCGTGTGTATCAAGAATGGTCCACCACCCAAAGGACATCCAGCCAACTTGACACAACTGTGGGACTGTTGGGCTTTTCACACACGACAGTGTCTAGGCTTTAACGAAAATTGTGCAACAAACAAAAAACATCCAGTCAGTGGCAGTCCTGTGTGAGAAAACCGCTCGTTGATGAGAGGTCAAAGGAGAATGTCAGGAATCGTGCAAGCTAACACGCGGGCCACAAAGAGGCAAATAACGGCGCAGTAAAACAGTGGTGTGCAGAACGATTACACCGGTTCCACTACTACCAGCTAAAAACAAGAAGAAGCGTCTCCAGTGGGCACGCGATCACCAACACTTGGCAATTGAGGAGAGGAAAAACATTGCCTGGTCTGAAGAATCCCACTTCCTATTGCGTCAGGCTGGTGGCAGTGGTGTAATGGTGTGGGGAATGTTTTCCTGGCACACATTTGGTACCTTGATATCGATTGAGCAACGTTTCCATGCCCTGAAGAATTCAGGCTGTTCTGGAGGCAAAGGGGGGTCCGACCCAGTACTAGATGGGACACTGGCCACTGAGTGTAGGACAGACACAAAACGTACTTCCTTTTGATAAATGTTTTGACTATCTGTTTTGCCATGTATGAATATGTAATTCAATGCATTTCTATGGGCTAATAGCAGTAAGGCCAAATTCAAATCTTTTTTTGTGTATATATTTTTATACTTACAGGGGTCCTAAACTTCCAAATCAAATCGCTAAATGATCCTTGGTATGGCCATTTTAAAACAATTCCATATATTAGCTTTGTAGAAACACATCCCCAGGCCTCTAAGACCTTAGGGGTTAACCCTTACCCCAACCACTGCCAGTGTATAGTAATTCTCTCCTATCTCTCCTGTAGCCCATAGTTTCAGTCCAGCAAGACCAGTGTGGATCCGTAATCAACTGCTGTCTTCTCTCTGTGACCTCATCAGCTCAGACAGTCCTCTCACTGCAGAGTGAGTACCTGCAGGGTCAAACCTCTCACCATAGGGTTAACATGGGTTTCAATGGAACTACTGCATTTTAAACATGTTTGATCTACTGTGTGTGTGTCTGTGTGTGTGTGTGTGTGTGTGTTTGTGTGTGTGTGTGTCCACCTGCAGTAAGCAGAAAGAGCTGATCCAGACGCTGGGCATTGATTGGTTCCTGCTGTTCCTGCAGCCCCACCTCCACCCTTCCTCCCTGTGCCTAGGGCTCCGTCTACTCACACTCCTCCTGGCCAATCAGAGCGAGCGGAACAGCTTCAGAGAGGGCGTGTTCCCAGGGACCCTAGTAGAGAGCCTGGATGAACCCTCTGTTGTCATGGGTACGATATACTTTTGTTTAGATACTGTATGTTTTGTAGTTCATTAACATGATTTGTATTATGTTTCATAAACATTTAAGCAATAAGGCATGAGAACCCGGGATTATTGTGTGATAACTCCCGAATCAACCCTTAGGAGGGAGTTATCACTCGATAATCCCCGGGTTTAAGGGCATTATTGCTTTTATAAAACATTTAAGATAAACGTTTTATTTCATCCTTCCACCAGACAATATAGTCCAGGCAAAAGCCAGTTGTTAGTTCTGAGGTTGCTAACCAAACATATCGTTAATTATTTGGGATGTTTTGACCCAGTCTTTCATTCTATTCATTCCACGTTGCTATGCTAAAGAAATCATTGGTATGTAGCTAGCTAGCTAGCAGAGGTTCAATGATGACGAGAGACAAGAACTTAAACAAATAGGCCTAATGATTTAATAAATAATTCATACTGAACAAAAATATAAATGCAACATGTAAAGTGTTGGTCCCATGTTTCATGAGCTGACATAAAATATCCCCAAATGTTTCCATATGCACAAAATGCTTATTTCTCTCAAATTGTGTGCACAAATTTGTTTCCATCCCTGTTAGTGAACATTTCTGCTTTGCCAAGATAATCCATCCACTTGACAGGTGTGGCATATCAAGAAGCTGATTAAACAGCATGATCATTACACAGGTGCAACTTGTGTTGGGGACAATAAAAGGCCACTCTAAAATGTGCAATTTTTTCCCACACAACACAATGCCACAGAAGTTTTGAGAGGGCGTGCAATTGGCATGATGACTGCAGGAATGTCCACCAGAGCTGTTGCAAGATAATTTAATGTTCATTTCTCTACCATAAGCTGCCTCCAACGTCGTTTTAGAGAATTTGGCAGTACGTCCAACCGGCCTCACAACCGCAGATCACGTGCAACCACGCCAGCCCAGGACTTTCACATCCGGCTTCTTCACCTGTAGGATCATCTGAGACCAACCACCCAGACAGCTGATGAAACTGAGGAGTATTTCTGTCTGTAATAAAGCCCTAATTGGCTGGGCCTGGCTCCCCAGTGGGTGGTCCTGGCTCCCAAGTGACTGCGCTCCTGCCCAGTCATGTGAAATCCATAGGTTAGGGCCTAATGCATTTAATTCAATTGACTGATTTTCTTATTTGAACTGTAACTCAGTAAAATCGTTGAAATTGTTGAATGTTGCATTTATATTTTTGTTCAGTATATAAATAGGCAACAAGAACTTCAGCAAATAATGATTTGATGAATAATGTATAAATAGGCAAAAACCAGCTGATTGTCAAGTCAATAATATAGTTATGGAGGATAGCTAGGCTAAAGGCAAGCTAACACATAATAACATCAAGCAGCTGAAATGACAGCAAACTATGTGCATTTTTGTTTCTTTATTGCCATTTCTTTGTATATATCCTTTATAATGATCCTGATAAATGAATTTGCCTGGCCTAGAGAAGCTGTCAGTCTTACCACGTTGATATGCATGACACAGTAGAGATCGCTTATATTAACCCCCGCTGTACCAAACCAAATGCTAGGCTAGGAGCATGGGGAAATATTGTCTTGATGCTTTTTTTCCGGTGTAGATAAAGTTTATACATTTACTGGCTGGGCTGTGGGAGAGTCAATGCGCATTGATAAATCTAATGGAACTGTCAACAGGCATTACCCGTGGAATGCGGGGATTGTGGTGCTATAACTCCCTGCTTTCAACCAATCAGCATCCAGGATCCAAACAACACGTTTTCTAATTGTTTATATTACATGAGTAGATATGCATAAAAGTTTATACTCTCACCATGTTGACTGTGTAGACTTACTCTCTAATCAATGTATTGTTGTTGTATGTATTACTCTCCAACTGAGCGTATTGTAAAACACCTTAAATACCCACCGTAGTCTGGCACCGGTGGTGTATTCTTTCCTTTAATGTATTGTATGGTATTTGTCTTTGTGTGTCTCCTAGACAACCTGAGAGCTTATGAGTGGTCCTATGAGTGTCTGAGTGTCACCTGCGCAGGCTTCGATGTGCTGCAAAGGCTTCTGGTTCGCCAGGCTCACCTGCCTCAGGTGTACGGAGCTCTGGCCGCTCTACTGCTGGGGAAGAGAGGAGGGGAAATACCTGCCGGACAGGTAACATGACACTAACCTGGATATAATGTAGTTTAAGTACATTAAAGTGACTTAAGTTACATTGAAGTGACATGGCAAGATATTAGGAGCATCTAAATAGGGCTCCTAACACTCCTGTTATTTTGCACTATTCAATTCTCATGATTAACTGTAAAGTAAATCAAACAAAGCTAAATCTATTTTGGCATGCATGAGATGATTCCTGTGTTGGACTATGCCTTTAAAAGTTGATGTCCTCTGTGGTCTCCTCTGTAGCTAGATCTGGATGAGGTTCTGCAGGCAGTGATTGACAGCACAGCGTACACAAACTCTGCTCCCCTACAGCTGTGTTCCAAGTCTGCAGCCATACTACTGGAGCTGGTCAAGGCCATCATCACAGTGAGACAACTCGGTTCAAAACATAACATAGAAATTATTTTACATTCTCACTCTGACGACAATTTCACAAATGTAGTCTCAAAGCACTTAATATTGTAAATGGTTACTATTAATGTCATCAGTTTGGACTTACTATAAAACCCTTCCTCATTCTAAATGCTGTCCTGTCTGTTGTCGCTCTCCATGTATAGCGGTCATCTGCCGCTGATGCATCTTGGGAGTTGCAGTTTCCCGGAAGTGTGATGCAGTTCCTCTGTCTGGTACACAATCACCACCCCCGAGACCCACTATGGACGTCTCCAGAGTTTCTACACACACTCGCCAGCACTGTGTTTCCTCCAGACTACCCTGAGGTGTGTGTGTGTCTTTCTCCTCCTCTTCTTCATCTTCCTCCTGTAGTGGCATCAGACCTAGGATGGGGTTTTTGATAAATAGTGATATTCTAGCTCTCATCTCCTCAGGGTGAAGAGGAGGTGCCTAAGTGGGTGTGTCAGCCAACCAGGAAGCCGGTGTGTGACTTCATCCGTATCCTCTTAATGGACAGCCTGCTCAACGTACCTGCCAAAGAACACACACACACCCTACTGCTGCTACTGGAGGTATACACACACACACACACACACAAACACACACACACATACATACTGGTGAGGTTAATAAACAACTGTATTCCCCTGTTTTATCCAGGAGGTGCCGCTCTTGGCCCAGTTATGAGACAGAGAGGCAGAGTATTCATTGAGTACTTTTACATGCACACTAATAATACAATATTAAACAGATTATGGCAGTAGGCCGAGTATGGCAATAGTCATGTAAACACTTTACTCTGCTGATCTTAATCAGCGTAAGGTCAAAATCGAAGTAAGCATACACTGATTATAACACTTGGTTTTCTTAGCAATCTTTCTAATTATTAGGACATGTAAACAGCTTAATCGGCGTTCCAGCAGTGTATTTGATCTGCCCATGTGCCTGCACCGGTAGTGCATGCCTCCATCTTATGCACGAGTGAAGTGAGTTCGAAAAAACATCTTAGAGATAGTTTTCACATACAAACTTTATATGTCCGAACTCAATCAAATAGGCTTTGCAAAATAACATGGTCGCTGTGGTAGAACAGTTATTTTGATTGGCGAAATGCGTTTTCTGCATTTATTTAATTAAGTCCCATCAGGTAGCCTGATTTCAGATGTGTCCATGTAAACAGGATTATTAGGGAAATCGTTCTTCTTGCAAAGCATGTAAATGTTTTAAACGAACTATTATAACTATTTTAACTATTGTAATTATTATAACTATCTATAGCACGCTAGTAGATACCCATAGACTCACATCTTGACTGGCTGCATCACCGCTTCGTATGGCAACTGCTTGGCATCCGACCGCAAGGCGCTACAGAGGGTAGTGCGAATGGCCTAGTACATCACTGGGGTCGAGCTCCCTGCATCATGGACCTCTATACCAGGCGGTGTCAGAGGAAGGCCCTAAACATTGTCATAGACTCCCGCCACCCAAGTCATAGACCGTTCTCTCTGCTATCGCACGACAAGCGGTACGGATGCACCAAGTCTGGAACCAACCGGACCCTGAACAGCTTCTACCTCCAAGCCATAAGACTGCTAAATAGTTAGTTAAATAGTTAAACAATAGCTACCTGGACTATCTGCATTGACCCTATTTGCACTAACTATTTTGACTCATCACATACACTGCTGTTACTGTTTATTATCTATCCTGTTGCCTAGTCATTTATCCCTACCTACAGTGGGGAGAACAAGTATTTGATACACTGCCGATTTTGCAGGTTTTCCTACTTACAAAGCATGTAGAGGTCTGTAATTTTTATTATAGGTACACTTCAACTGTGAGAGACGGAATATAAAACAAAAATCCAGAAAATCACATTGTATGATTTTAAAGTAATTAATTTGCATTTTATTGCATGACATAAGTATTTGATACATCAGAAAAGCAGAACTTAATATTTGGTACAGAAACCTTTGTTTGCAATTACAGAGATCATACGTTTCCTGTAGGTCTTGACCAGGTTTGCACACACCGCAGCAGGGATTTTGGCCCACTCCTCCATACAGACCTTCTCCAGATCCTTCAGGTTTTGGGGCTGTCGCTGGGCAATACGGACTTTCAGCTCCCTCCAAAGATTTTCTATTGGGTTCAGGTCTGGAGACTGGCTAGGCCACTCCAGGACCTTGAGATGCTTCTTACGGAGCCACTCCTTAGTTGCCCTGGCTGTGTGTTTTGGGTCGTTGTCATGCTGGAAGACCCAGCCACGACCCATCTTCAATGCTCTTACTGAGGGAAGGAGGTTGTTGGCCAAGATCTTGCGATACATGGCCCCATCCATCCTCCCCTCAATACGGTGCAGTCGTCCTGTCCCCTTTGCAGAAAAGCATCCCCAAAGAATGATGTTTCCACCTCCATGCTTCACAGTTGGGATGGTGTTCTTGGGGTTGTACTCATCCTTCTTCTTCCTCCAAACACGGCGAATGGAGTTTAGACCAAAAAGCTCTATTTTTGTCTCATCAGACCACATTACCTTCTCCCATTCCTCCTCTGGATCATCCAGATGGTCATTGGCAAACTTCAGACGGGCCTGGACATGCGCTGGCTTGAGCAGGGGGACCTTGCGTGTGCTGCAGGATTTTAATCCATGACGGCGTAGTGTGTTACTAATGGTTTTCTTTGAGACTGTGGTCCCAGCTCTCTTCAGGTCATTGACCAGGTCCTGCCGTGTAGTTCTGGGCTGATCCCTCACCTTCCTCATGATCATTGATGCCCCATGAGGTGAGATCTTGCATGGAGCCCCAGACCGAGGGTGATTGACCGTCATCTTGAACTTCTTCAATTTTCTAATAATTGCACCAACAGTTGTTGTCTTCTCACCAAGCTGCTTGCCTATTGTCCTGTAGCACATCCCAGCCTTGTGCAGGTCTACAATTTTATCTCTGATGTCCTTACACAGCTCTCTGGTCTTGGCCATTGTGGAGAGGTTGGAGTCTGTTTGATTGTGTGTGTGGACAGGTGTCTTTTATACAGGTAACAAGTTCAAACAGGTGCAGTTAATACAGGTAATGAGTGGAGACCAGGAGGGCTTCTTAAAGAAAAACTAACAGGTCTGTGAGAGCCGGAATTCTTACTGGTTGGTAGGTGATCAAATACTTATGTCATGCAATACAATGCAAATTAATTACTTAAAAATCATACAATGTGATATTCTGGATTTTTGTTTTAGATTCCGTCTCTCACAGTTGAAGTGTACCTATGATAAAAATGACAGACCTCTACATGCTTTGTAAGTAGGAAAACCTGCAAAATCGGCAGTGTATCAAATACTTGTTCTCCCCACTGTATATATTTTTGTTGTTGAAATGACATGGAAACAATGATGATGCGACCAGTTTTTGCCCAGTGGGATGCAGCTTCTCTTCTGTCATTACTTGATGCTCTAAAATACTAAATAAAGCCTTCTCACCAGAATGTCATAAACTGATGGAATGAATGAATCATCAACAATCTAGTTGACATCTGTACATTTTGGTCTTTCATTTCTGCTTCTCTACGTTTAGGGACTGGGGAGATTTTCAGTGCCAATTTTCCAAATGACATCGGTTATTGACCGGTTGTAAGGAAATTAAAAGCTGTGAAAACCATCCAACATTTTTCAGATAGTATTTCAGTTCATTTTGGATGCATATTTTATGTGGTCAAAAGTGAAATACTATCAGCTTTTATGTCGCTGGAAAAAATTGCATGTTTAGGCTACACAACACTAAGTGCACATTCACATTTTCTCAAGACGAAAGAAAGAAATCCTATTTCTCCACTCCTGTTGCTGAGACAATATTAACATTTGGTCTATCATTTTACTGCAAGAAACACTTAATTTTTCATGAGTAAACACTCGGAGCGCCGTAATTCCATAACTACTAGAATGGCCATCATGGTCATTCTGACGTTGATTTTTCAATTGTGTAAATATTCCATAATAAATAATACATTGCTAAATGAATGCATTTATTATGTTAAAATATGTCATAATAAACTTCAGGACACCAAATGTAAATTGTAATCGGTCATCAAATGTATTCATTGATCCAGAAGCATTTAGACTGTAAATTCAAAGATAAGACTATGGTGTATTTTCTGACTGTAAGACAGTTGCCTGCCCAGCTAATGGCCCATCCAAACTACACCTAAACTATATTGAAACTAATTTCACACATACTGTATAATAATAGATGTGGCCTAAATACCAATTGACAATAGTCTGATGGGTGAGAATATTATCAATTGTCAAATTGAGAATGAAGAGACTGATGACCAGCGCAGCATGCATTAACAAAGAAGGAAACAGAGCTTACCAAATAGCACTTTTTCAAATCCTCCTCCGGAGGTCCATGCAGGCCAGAAGTTTTGATTGCTATACCATATGGAAAGGGTCAATTCTGAGGTTTCTAATTAACCTAGTCATGCCAAAATTATCTCAAAATTGCGCAGATGGGCTCAATTTCAATATACAACTTTTTCCTAGAATAACCATTTCCATAACACTTCCTCATGTGAGTACTGGCGAAAATCAGTTATAGCCATTTGGGGAAAATATCCCTTCTATTTGATTCTGTTATATTCCCTTATATTCTTACTGTAAAAAATATACAGTATGTGTTGATGCGGTAGGGCAGGGTAATATAAGCGTGTGATGTCTGCTAAAATAACAAGTTGATTTCGTGGCACAGCCATATAGCCACGGTTACTAAGCACAGATGGGCCTAAAATAAAATTCAAATCATGCTATTCTGTTCTTTTGAAATAAATTGTCTTAGTATCATGTTTTTTATGACCTTCCTAAACAAAATATTAATGGATTTATTTTTGATTGTGTACATTAAATAGATATATTAGACTGGTGGCTATTGGTACTTCTCGAAGCCTGGCTATTCTGCTGTTAAATATGCATACGGTCATTTTGATCGTCATGGTGCAATCGGAAATGTAATCTACGTAATCCCCAAAAGTAATTATTTATCATGAGCGGACCATAAACAATAATTAGTAATGCTGCATATTTTCTAAAGGTCTCTCTTGATCAAAATGACAGACCCCATCGCTGTGAACGTCTCACATAGCTCTAGCTTGGCTTCCTGAACTCGTTAGGAACGAGTTCAGGAATATTTCATCTCATATTAATATTGTCAGTCTATCACAAACAGACAGTGTGATGTAGGGTTCAGCCTGGAGTTGATGGACAGTCGAAAGAGCGAATGAAATGGTAGGAGGGACATCCCAGCTTCAAGTGGTTTCAGATGTCACATCCTACGTCACACAGGCTCAGAAAATATACTATTGTGTCCGTGGGAACCAGGGCTATTGCTCAATGCAAGCCATTTCGATTTTTCAAGTCAATTTAAGTCAGAACTGTAACTAGGCCACTCAGGAACATTCAGTGTCATTTTGGTAAGCAATTCCAATATATATTTGCCCTGGTGTTTTTCTGAAAGGTGAATTTGTCTCCCAGTGTCTGTTGGAAATCAGACTGAATCAGGTTTTCCTCTAGGAAAATCCTAATTTAAAAAAACTCCCTAGTCCTTGCCAATGACAAGCATACCAATAACATGATGCAGCCACCACCATGGTTGAAAATATGAAGAGTGGTACTCAGTGATGTGTTGTGTTGGATTTGCCCCAAACATAATGCTTTGTATTCAGGACATAATGTTTCTTTCTTTGCCACATTCTTTGAAGTTTTACTTTAGTGCCTTATTGCAAACAGGATGCATATTCTGCACAGGCTTCCTTCTTTTCACTCTGTCATTTAGGTTAGTATTGTGGAGTAACTACAATGTTGTTGACCCATCCTCAATTTTCTTCTATCAGAGCCATTAAACTCTGTAACTGTTTTATAGTCACCATTGGCCTCATGGTGAAACCCCTGAGCGGTTTCCTTCCTCTCCGGCAACTGAGTTAGGAAGGACGCCTGTATCTTTGTAGTGACTGGGTGTATTGATACACCATCCAAAGTGTAATTAATAACTTCACCATGCTCAAAGGGATATTCAATGTCAGCTTTTTTCAATGCCATCTTCCAATAGGTGCCCTTGCAACTTATTATGTGACTTGTTAAGCATTCTTTTTACTCCTGAACTTATTTAGGCTTGCCATAAAAAAGGGGATGAATACTTATTGACTCAAGACATTTCAGCTTTTCATTTTTTATTAATTTGTAAATGTTTCTAAAAACATAATTTCACTTTGACATATGGGGTATTGTGTGTATGCCTGTCAAACAAAATCTAAATGTAATCAATTTTAAATTCAGGCTGTAACACAACAAAATGTGAAAAAATTCAAGCAGTGTTAATACTTTCTGAAGGCACTGTATATGCGCCAACTCAAAAACAGAATGCTTGAGGATCCCGGATAATAACGGGATATTGGTGTGCATGTAAACGTGGTCACTGTAGCTAAACACCAGGGGAGATGGAGAGAAGACAGGGATGGCTGCTATCTTAGGAGCACACGTTCACCCCTCTGTGTGTGTGTGTTGCAGTATTCCCCAGAAGGAGCGTCATTGGAGCAGAGACAGATCTTCCAGACAGAACTGCTTGAGTTCTTCATGGAAATCATCCACATGACCAGCCAGGAGGATGGACATAACACACACCTCAACACACAGGGTAGAGCACACACACACACCTCACACATGCACTCACTTATGCACACACACACACACACACACACACACACACACACACATGCACAGGCACACACCTCACATATGCACATGCATTCACGCACGTACACAGACAAAATTATTTCCCATGCAAATGGGCAATAAAATATTGTATCATATCACTCAACAGATCTTTCCCTCTCTGTCACCAGAGTCAAACTCCCAGAGACCTGAGGGGCAGATGGCCACACTGATGGAGAACATGGTGTTTTTCAGTCAGAAGTGTCTGGAGAAACTCTACAGTGGGATGTTTCTGGTTGAGCCAGAGTCCCTGCTCACCTTCCTAGCTGACCAGATAGTGGTGGTGAGAAACACTCTGAATGCTATGTGCTGCCTTGGGTGTCAGTAACGTTACAGAATGTTCAGATAAAAATGTAATGTGAAACACAAACATGATTGTCCTTCATTTACGGAGTAAGTCAAGTCATGTCAGCTCTATTCAGCTCTATTCCTAACATTTTTGGTGGCGTTCCAGGCTGACTACATTGCAGTCGCCTGCCATATCTCGCAACGCCTGGATAAGTGTTAAACAAATTAGCTAACCACATTATTTGATGTAGCAGTCTGATGTCCGACTTCGAAGTCGGTAACGTGGCATGAAACTGCAACCACAATTGCACACATCACAACTACAATGTAACATAGGCCTTCTGTCTATCTGCAACGGTCTGAACGTTTTCACCTGCTATTAGGTGTTGGAGAAGAGCCTATCACAGAAAGAGAACACAGTCTCCTCCCTCTACACCAGCACCAACCGAGCCCTGCTCTACTTCCTGTCCCGCCCACAACACACACAGGCCGAACAGGAAGCGGTCATCAGTACGCTGCAGGTGGTCATGGCGCGCTGGGACGTAGTCATGGCAACCTACAATGCCAACGTGAACTTCATTACCTGCCTGTTGCACTGTCTACTGTTAATACGATCTGGCAGGTAGGTTACACACGTGTACGCACGCATAAGTGCACACACACACGTGCGTGCACGCGCACACTCATACACACACAAATGTACACAGTGTGTTAAAGAGTTAGTCCTATGATTGGCCTTGTGATCATGGAAGCTTTGTGCAGTGGTGATTTTATCATGTAAATCTTGGTGGGGCAAACTCCCCCAAACATTTTTTAGATGCATGCCAGCAAAGCAACTAGACAACACAACACTAAACAATACATGAATTGCACTACAACGGTGACAAACGGTGCCCACAAACTGTTAGGGCCTACATAAAGCTGTCACAACAGCAGTGCTTTCTTTTCAGCACCATGGAGTGAATCCTTACCACTGCTACACCTGGCTATCAGCGGAACCTTGTCTGGCAGCAAAACAGTTAATTTAGCCTCATTTACTGCCTTTAAAAAAAACATAGCTGATATGGCTGACTTGCTTAAACAAATGGGGTTTCTACTGACAATTGAGATGTACAAACTATGGCATAAGGGAACGATGAGTGGATAAGAGGCAATCCGTAATTTTGTTTAAGACATTAATGAGCGAGCTAAGACGGACGTAGTCAATTTAACTATTTGTTCAGCACTTTTGAAATGTACAGCGACAGAATTCAGAACATGGGCCATTCTTACAGTATTCTCCTTGTACACAAGTCAGAACCGTAAGATAAATCAAGGGGGAATATAAGCAGACAATGAAAGCTCTTACAATATTCGATGATGACATTTCTCTAAAACAGGCTATAGGCTAAATGTGCACCACCAAGTCAGAACAGTAGGCTAAGTTATGAGGAGGAAAGGGTGAGGCACATGGGCTACTATCAGCTTACTACACAACATACACTTAGTATTACTTTCTTAGTTACAGTATACATATCTCCCTTTCATATTACATCATTTACGCAGTAGCATACAATATATTTTTTGACTCACCTTGTTGTGGGCAAATTTTGTCATCAAACTTTGTCATTAAAGTCTGTCATTCTCTGGATTTATGGTGCTTTCAAGACAACTGGGAACTTGGAGAATAAACAAGGTCGAATCATGACGTCAGTGAGCTTTAGGTCGGACCTCTAGAAAGAGGCCAGAGTTCCCGACTTGGAATTCCGAGTTTGATTACCGTTCAAAACGTATTTTCCCAGTCGGAGCTCATATCTTCCTGAGTTCCCAGTTTTCTTGAACTCACTGAAATCTGAGATTTCCCAGTTCTGAGTTTCCAGTTGTTTTGAACGCGGCAGAAGTCATGCTGGATTGACAGCATGGCCAATGTATTCAACCTTTTCTGGCCCATGCTGTTGCATGAGAATGTTTATCCTTTTAAGCTTGGAAAAGAGACCCTTAAACCCAGACTTGGACCACACACGCTCTCCACTGAATAGCAAGCTAGTGATTGCTTTGCAAAGCTTGCAGTTAGCCACTGATTCCTTCCAAACCACTCATTGTTGAATTTGCGATTTCCAACTTGCTGTGTATGTTTAAGTCCAATGGCCGATTAGCACCGATACGTTTTATCTATAATTTATTTTCATATGACAAGGATTGAAAAGGATTTGCTAGTAGATGGTCGACTTGATTCATGATGATGACTGCTTGTTTTGCTTGCTAGCTAAGATTTTGATCAGTCCAATAAAAGCTACAGTAGATATAACATGATTTGACATCATTTTATCTGTGTTCATTGACCTTCAGCCTGCTTGGACGGGCACTTCTAATGTAAATCTATGTCAGCACTCACGGTGCTTGAATTTTCAAACTCTCCCTGTAGATTTTGCGGGGACGTAGTGTCCCCATGAGTGACAGAACACTGAGCCAATCACAGCACAACTAGAGAACATTACCAACGCCTACGCTCTGTATTTTCTGCTGGCTGCCCCTCCACCACAGAAAGCTAGGCTGAAACACCTGCATTTTGGAGCTGCCTTACTCAAGAAAGCAAAAAAGAGACCATGTTTGTATGTGGCTTATTAACGCGGAGATTTTTTTTTTTTTACATTGTTTGCAAACTGATGTGACATTTATTCATGCCAAAATAATGTGCAAAACAGGCAACAACAAAAAAATTCTATATATTTTAGCTTTGATTGGACTGATCATGTCAACATCATACTTTCAAAATCTTAGCTAGCAAGCTAGACAAGCAGTCATCATCATGAATGAAGTCGACACAAATTATATATATACAGTTGAAATCGGAAAATTACACTTAGGTTGGAGTCATTAAAACTCATTTTTTCAACCACTCCACAAATGTCTTTTTATCAAACTATAGTTTTGACAAGTCATTTTTCCAACAATTCTTTACAGACAGATTATTTAACTTATAATTCACTGTATCACAATTCCAGTTGGTCAGAAGTTTACATACACTAAGTTGACTGTGCCTTTAAACAGCTTGGAAAATTCCAGAAAATGATGTCATGGCTTTAGAAGCTTCTGATAGGCTAATTGACATGCTTTTAGTCAATTGGAGGTGTACCTGTGGATGTATTTCAAGGCCTACCTTCAAACTCAGTGCAATTTCCAAATGCATGAAGGTACCACGTTCATCTGTACAAACAATAATACGCAAGTATAAACACCATGGGACCACGCAGCCGTCATACCGCTCAGGAAGGAGACGCGTTCTGTCTCCTAGAGATGAACGTACTTTGGTGCGAAAAGTGCAAATCAATGCCAGAACAACAGCAAAGGACCTTGTGAAGATGCTGGAGGAAACAGGTACAAAACCTATCTATATCCACAGTAAAACGAGTCCTATATCGACAAAACCTGAAAGGCCGCTCAGCAAGGAAGAAGTCACTGCTCCAAAACCGCCATAAAAAAGCCAGACTACGGTTTGCAACAGCACATGGGGACAAAGATCATACTTTTTGGAGAAATGTCCTCTGGTCTGATGAAACAAAAAATAGAACTGTTTGGCCATAATGACCATCGTAATGTTTGGAGGAAAAAGGCGGTCGCTTGCAAGCCGAAGAGCACGATACCAACCGTGAAGCACGGGGGTGGCAGCATCATGCTGTGGGGGTGCTTTGCTGCAGGAGGGACTGGTGCACTTCACAAAATAGATGGCATGATGAGGAAGGAAAATGATGTGGATATATTGAAGCTACATCTCAAGACATCAGTCAGAAAGTTAAAGCTTGGTCGCAAATGGGTCTTCCAAATGGACAATGACCCCAAGCATACTTCCAAAGTTGTGGCAAAATGGCTTAAGGACAACAAAGTCAAGGTGTTGGAGTGGCCATCACAAAGCCCTGACCTCAATCCTATAGAAAATGTGTGGGCAGAACTGAAAAAGCGTGTGCTAGCAAGGAGGCCTACAAACCTGACTCAGTTACACCAGCTCTGTCAGGAGGAATGGGCCAAATTTCACTCAGCTTATTGTTGGAAGCTTGTGGAAGGATACCCAAAACGTTTGACCCAATTTAAACAATTTAAAGGCAATGCTACCAAATACTAATTGAGTGTATGTAAACTTCTGACCCACTAGGAATGTGATGAAAGAAATAAAAGCTGAAATAAATAGTTCTCTCTACTATTATTCTGACATTTCACATTCTTAAAATAAAGTGGTGATCCTAACTGACCTAAGACAGGGAATGTTTACTAGGATTTAATGTCAGGAATTGTGAAAAACTGAGTTTAAATGTATTTGGCTAAGGTGTATGTAAACTTCTGACTTCAACTGCATTTATATACAGTACCAGTCAAAAGTTTGAACACACCTACTCATTCAAGGGTTTATCTTTATTTTTACTATTTTCTACATTGTAGAATAATAGTGAAGACATCAAAACTATGAAATAACATATATGGAATCATGTAGTAACCAAAAAGGTGTTAAACAAATCAGAATATATTTTATATTTGAGATTCTTCAAAGTAGCCCCCTTTGCCTTGATGACAGCTTTGCATGCTCTTGGCATTCTCTCAACCAGCTTCACCTGGAATGCTTTTCCAACAGTCTTGAAGGACTTCCCACATACGCTTAGCACTTGTTGGCTGCTTTTCATTCACTCTGCGGTCCAACTCCTCCCAAACCATCTCAAGTTGGTTGAGGTCGGGTGATTGTGGAGGCCAGGTCATCTGATGCAGCATTCCATCACTCTCCTTCTTGGTAAAATAGCCATTACACAGCCTGGAGGTGTGTTGTGTCATTGTCCTGTTGAAAAACAAATGATAGTCCCACTAAGCGCAAACCAGATGGGATGGCGTATCGCTGCAGATTGCTGTGGTAGCCATGCTTGTTAAGTGTGCCTTGGATTCTAAATAAATCTCTGACATTGTCATCAGCAAAGCACCCCCACACCATCACACCTCCTCCTCCATGCTTCACAATGGGAACCACACATGCAGAGATCATCTGTTCACCTACTCTGTGTCTCACAAAGACACGGCGGTTGGAACCAAAAATCTCAAATGTGGACTCATCAGACCAAAGGACAGATTTCCACCGGTCTAATGTCCATTGCTTGTGTTTCTTGGCCCAAGCAAGTCTCTTCTTCTTCTTATTGGTGTCTTTTAGTAGTGGTTTCTTTGCAGCAGTTCGACCCTGAAGGCCTGATTCACACAGTCTCCTCTGAACAGTTGATGTTGAGATGTGTCTGTTACTTGAACTGGTAACTCTAATGAACTTATCCTCTGCAGCAGAGATAACTCTGAGTCTTCCTTTCCTGTGGCGGTCCTCATGAGAGCCAGTTTCATCATAGCGCTTGATGGTTTTTGTGACTGCACTTGAAGAAACGTTCAAAGTTCTTTAAATGTTCCATATTGACCTTCATGTTTTAAAGTAATGATGGACTGTCGTTTCTCTTTGCTTATTTGAGCTGTTCTTGCCATAATATGGACTTGGTCTTTTACCAAATTGGGCTATCTTCTGTATACCACCTCTACCTTGTCATATCACAACTGATTGGCTCAAAGGCATTAAAACGGAAAGAACTTCCACAAAATAACCTTTAACAAGGCACACCTGTTAATTGAAATACATTCCAGGTGACTACCTCATGAAGCTGGTTGAGAGAATGCCAAGTGTGTGCAAAGCTGTCATCAAGGGAAAGGGTGGCTACTTTGAAGAATCTCAAATATAAAATATATTTTGATTTTTTAACAGTTTTTTGGTTACTACATGATTCCATATGTGTTATTTCATAGTTTTTAAGTCTTCACTATTATTCTACAATGTAAAGAAAAACCCTTAAATGAGTAGGTGTGTCCAAACTTTTGACTGGTACTGTATATGTATATTTTTTGCTCAACAGTTGGGGCTCAAAACAGGTTGGGCTCGGCCCAACCTGCCCTGAATGACGGGTCGCCACTGGCTTTGTATTAATTGTAGGTATTGTTTGTGTGCCCTACAGCTACCCAGAAGGCTTTGGGTGTGAAAGGCACAAGAAACACCATCGGAGAATCCTGTCTCATCTGTTCTCTCTCAAGACCAGCCGCACTACCACACTCAGCCAAGTACCTGACTCAGACACAGGTAGGACTGTCTGTGCATGTGTGACAGTAGTGACAGCTGAGCTGATGTCCCTGGTCGAGGCCTGCACCCATCACACATAAGATTGAGCTGTATTTGTGTGTGTCTGTTACAGAGCTGATGTCCCTAGTAGAGTGTGTGTGGTCTAAGATCCTGACTGAGAGACGCACCATTCTAGAAGACACCTATAAGATTGAGTTGTCAGCCAATCAGACGCAGAAGATGGGACCTGTTAGCATGAGTGACATCAGCCCGCTGTGGGAAGAGACAGCACTCAAGGTGTGGCAGTTATACACAGGTGAGACCACACACAGGCATGGACGTAGACACACATCACTCGGGTATTCACACAGGTGAGACCACACACATCAATGGACGTATATACACATCCCTCAGGCATAAACACAGGTGTGATGCAGGCCTGCACAGAATATCAGATCTTTATGCCTGCAAAAGTGAACCACATCAATATGATCTACTGATCTTGTAATATGCTCAGTCCTGCACTTGTATTTGTGTAAATTTCTGACTGAAGGACTGACTTACTGACTAATTGATTGATTGATTGATGGTTTTTGTCCCGTCAGACAATGTGAAGAGGAAGCTGACTAGCACCATCCAGAGGAAACATGGTGTAATCAGCTCTGCTATTCGCTCTGTCCACAAACGACTGGGGAGAGAGACTGGCACTGTGGAGGTAACACACACACGCACGTACTCACACACACACTCATCATGAATCATCATCATCACAGGAGGAAGTGCTTGAGATGGAGCCTGTGTTTCACCTATCAAAACGTGTATGATAGTATGGGAGGTATGAAGGAAGGCCAAGCTTCACTGGACACGTAGCACAAGCATAGTGTCCGTGTGTGTTTGTTGATATTACTATACTTGTGAGGACCTTGAGTGTGTGTGTCCTTAGGGGAATGTCGGTTTATTAGCTACATGATGTCTTTGTCACACACATGCCACTAAACCCCCTCACACACGCACACACACACACAGACACACCCACACAGTCTTGTATAACTAACCTTGTGGGGAAGCACAATTCAGTCCCATTCAAAATCCTATTTTCCCTAACTCCTTACCCTAAACCTAACCTAACCTTAACCCTAACCCTAAATTTAACCCCAAACCTAACCTTAACACTAACCCTAAACCTTAGCTCCTAACCCTAAAACAAAAACCCTAGCTCCTAACCCTAAACCTAATTCTAACACTAATTTGAACCTTAACCCCCTAGAGCCCCGTGTAGCTCAGTTGTTAGAGCATGGCGCTTGCAACGCCAAGGTTGTGGGTTCGTTTCCCACGGGGGGCCAGGGGGCCCAGTATGAAAATGTATGCACTCACTAACTGTAAGTCGCTCTGGATAAGAGCGTCTGCTAAATGACTGAAATGTAAAATGTAAATAGCATTTGACCTTGTGGGGACTAACAAAATGTCACCAGTTGGTTAAAAAAAAAATCTGTTGTAATTTCTTCTGATCCCCACAAGTATAGTCAAACCCGTCAACATGCATGCCAAGCACCATACACACACACACCAATGTCACTGTGCTGTGTGCGTTGGTCCGTCCAGCCCTGTGGGTGTGTTTAGATTATTTCTGTAAATGGATCTGGATTGTCCCATCTGACCGCCCCTCAGTGGGCCCAGTAATTGATATCTGTTAGTTTTATCTGTAGTAATACACAGACACACACACACACGCTCAGGCTGCTGTTGAAGGTTAAAGACGCGCTTATTGTTGTTTTCCCCCCCGAAACACGCTGCCCACATCATTATTTCCCCCTGCAGATGAAGACGTCGCGCCATCTGGATCAGGACGTGGGGACGTATTACTCATGCGCACAGGCATGAAATTACAGCGTCTGTCTGTCTTTCAGTCTCGCCCCCACAAACGGTGTTTGTTTGTGTGTGTGTGTGTCTGTGCGTGTCTTTCTCTTTCTGTGTGTGTGTGTATCTCGAACCACAGGCATTGGTAATTTTTGCAGTACCAGTCTGATGAAAACATGTTTCATTTTGTGTTCTTCTGCTGACAGCCCATCAACTGCTTGATGAATGGTCTCTACCTTCTGAAAGGCAGAGCAGTCAGGAAATAGGACTTAACAGAATATTTTCTTCATCAGATTGGTCCCGCAACAAGCAGTGTTTGTCAGACCATGAGACATCCAGAAAATCGGTCTTCTCATGTAAACGTCTGTAGCGCCTGAACGGTTTGACCTAAAAAACTATAATGACCACTTTATGGAAAGGAGAGACTCTCACGAACACGATGAGTCAGGAGACTCGGCTGAAGTTGGTACCGTCGATGTGCCAACTTCTGTTTGGTAGCGTCCCAACCGTTTGGGCTACAAACTAATGGGACCCCAATGTGGAAAGGGGAGATTCTCACGAACACGATGGTGTTCTCTGTTTTGGTCTACAACCCCCACAAGTGTCACGGGATTTGTCTGAAGATAACCTGTACCTGTATAAAAAAACGAATGGAAGTATGAAGGTAGTTTTGTGCCTACGCAAAAAATATACACAGTGCCTTCGGAAAGTATTCAGACCCCTTGACTTTTTCCTTATTTTGTTACATTACAGCCTTATTCTAAAAAATCATCAATCTACACACAATATCCCATAATGACAAAGCAAAAACAGGTTTTTTGACATTTTTGCTAATTTATTAAAAATAAAAAAACTGAAATATCACATTTACATAACTATTCAGACCCTTTACTCAGTACTTTGTTGAAGCACCTTTGGCAGCATTTACAGCCTCGAGTCTTCTTGGGTATGACGCTACAAGCTTGGCACACCTGTATTTGGGGAGTTTATCCCATTCTTCTCTGCAGATGCTCTCAAGCTCAGTCAGGTTGGATGGGGAGCGTTGCTGCACAGCTATTTTCAGGTCTCTCCAGAGATGTTCGATCGGGTTCAAGTCCGGGCTCTGGCTGGGCCACTCAAGGACATTCAGAGACTTGTCCCAAAGCCACTGTGTTGTCTTGGCTGTGTGCTTAGGGTCGTTGCCCAGTCTGTCCTGAGCGCTCTTCAAGGATATCTCTGTACTTTGCTCCGTTCATCTTTGCCTCAAGCCTGACTATTCACCCAGTCCCTGCCGCTGAAAAACATCCCCACAGCATGATGCTGCCACCACCATGCTTCACAGTAGGGATGGTGCCAGGTTTCTTCCAGACGTGACGCTTGGCATTCAGGCCAAAGAGTTCAATCTTGGTTTCATCAGACCAGAGAATCTTGTTTCTCATGGTCTGAGAGTCTTTAGGTGCCTTTTAGCAAACTCATGTGCCTTTTACTGAGGAGTGGCTTCCGTCTGTCCACTCTACCATAAAGGCCTGATTGGTGGAGTGCTGCAGAGATGGTTGTCCTTCTGGAAGGTTCTCCAATCTCCACAGAGGACCTCTAGAGCTCTGTCAGAGTGACCATCGGGTTCTTGGTCACCTCCCTGACCAAGGCCCTTCTCCCCCGATTGCTCAGTTTGGCCGGACGGCCAGCTCTAGGAAGGGTCTTGGTGGTTCCAAACTTCTATATAAGGTCCCCCAGATCTGTGCCTCGACACAATCCTGTCTCGGAGCTCTACGAACAATTCCTTCGACCTCTTGATTTTTGCTCTGACATGCATTGTCAACTGTGGGACCTTATATAGACAGGTGTGTGCCTTTCCAAATCATGTCCAATCAATTGAATGTACCACAGGTGGACTCCAATCAAGTTGTAGAAACATCTCAAGGATGATCAATGGAAACAGGATGCACCTGAGCTCAATTTCGAGTCTCATAGCAAAGGGTCTGAATACTTAGGGAAATAAGGTGTTTTATTATGTTGTTATTTTAATAAATTAGCAAAAAATTATAAAAACCTATTTTTGCAATGCCATTATGGGGTATTGTGTGTAGATTGATGAGGATTTATTTTTATTTATTCCATTTTAGAATAAGGCTGTAACATAACAATGTGGACAAAATCAAGGGGTCTGAATACTTATGTAAATAAGGTATTTCTGTTTTTTCTTTTTTTAATATATTTCCTTATTTAAAAAAAATATTTCATAGATTTCGGACAGACACTTCAAAACCTTGTTTCTTATGATTTATTTTTTGACTTTCCTTTTTGCCATTTTTGAACGTGTTATTCAATGCGTTTCTATGGGCTTTAGTAGTAACGGCCAAAGTCAATATTTTATCCAAATGTATTTTTTTTCTTCTTTTTTTTCTAAAGTGATCCTAAAATTCCACATCAAATAGCTAAATGATCCATAGTATGACCATCTTAAAACAATCCATATGTCATTTTAGCACCACCCCCCCCCCCCCAATGCTAATGCTAATCATTGGTGCCTGAGACAAGGTGCCCATGGTAAATGGTTGCAGATAGCAGCAGCATACTGCATGGAGAGACTGACAGACAGACTGGGAGCAGTCAAATGCTTTCAGGGATTAATTTCAGCAGCGTTCTATAATTCTATCTGTGTCTTCACATTATAAAGATAATTAACAGGACTAATGATCATGTTAAGTTCATTACCAGTCACCGCCAGCACACAGTGAAGTTGACATTAGGTTGCCCCCCACACACACACACACCATCATCAGAGTTGGTGCGTTGTTGGGAAGTCATTAAAATGGAAATGAGAGTGTGTGATGTTGTGATGTTAATTGCATAGAGGAAGAGATGAGTTATGTTATTTAATGCAGCGTTTAAAGAGCCAATGAGGTTGCTATCTGCTAATAAGGGTAATTAATGCTATATATTACTTATGTTTGTCCAAGTTAAGAAATGAAATTATAGATGGTGGTGACGGCAGCAACGCTGTGTTTATCTGTCAAAACGCGGCTTTATTTTATAAACTTTATTAGGCCCGTTTCTTCTCTCTCTTTAATATTTCTTCAATTTCGCTTCCAATTCTTCCTTCATTTGTTTCTGTCTTCTATACTGTATTGTCACATTTGTGCCTGCTTTTGAAATGCCATATACAGTCACTGGGGTGTTTTAATATGGTCATACCATGGATCATTCAGCTATTTGATTTCGAATTTTTTTTAGGTATAAAAAAGATATACAAAAATATATATTTGATAAAATATTGAATTCGGCCTTTACTACTATAGCCCATAGAAACACATTGAATAACACATTCATAAATGGCAAAAAAGACAGTCAAAAAATAAATCATAAGGAATAAGGTATTGAAGTGTCTGTCCTATATCTAGGAGATATAAGAAAGCTCAGGAAATATTTTTATTTTTTTGGACACATATTTACCCCCTTATTTTTGTTGGCACAAAACTACCTCCATACTTCCGCTCGTTTGTATCGGTTTCCTTCAGACGAGTCCTATGACACTTGTGGGGGTCACAGAGCAAACCGGAGAACACCATCGTGTTCGAGAAAGTCTCCCTTTTCCACATAGTGGTCATAATAGTTTGTAGACCAACCCGTTCGAACGCTACAGACGTTTTCGTGAAAATACCGATTTTCAGGATGTCTCATGGTCAGACAAACACCACTGTAGCTCGGCCACCTTCCACCGCAGATGCGGAAGGCCAACATAGGTGGATGCAGTGGATTGAGACGCAGCCCATGCACAAAACTGATATCTCTAGCTTAAACTGACAGATTTTGATGGGGATTTTGTTATTATGTTACAAAATATTTATTAAACTATGCATTTATTCCCCCTGGTGGAGGCAGTAGAGCAGATAAATATGATTTATAATATCACAAAGAAAGTTGCCATGCACGACCATGACTGAAGCTCTAGTCTACAGCATGTTCATTTAGTCTGTAGTGTTCTGTCTGTAACCGACTGAAATCTGCTTTCTCGGTCACACGTTATGGCAGGAGACGTGTTGTTTCACTACCCCTCTCAGTGAGGCCTATGTTGTGATGATTGTCTTAATGATTCTCTGAGCCGTGCCAATGTGAGTCCTAAGTGTCACTAGCTAGCGCTAATGTAGTAGAAGGACACACGCGTGCACGCACGCACACACACAAAGACACACACAGACACACCATTGCACCCTGCCCACTGCAGCGGCGTACCACTGAGATATTAATGTTTAAGCTAATTAGATCACAGACACCAAATGTTTGGATCCATAGACAGTATTATTGGAAAGCTGCATAGCCACTAGCTTATTTCACCCACTGAATGCAATTTATATGAGCTGTAATTGTATGAGCGTATGGTAATTTCATGATGAAACAAACAATACTAATATGAATTTGCCGTATGGGAAGGGGGTGTTTTAGGCTACAGCAAGGTCATAAGGAAAATATGGGACATTGTTTTTCATACAGAATAAGGTGTGTTGTTTTTACACACACATTATTGTAGATCTGGTCTAAATGAACTAAACTGAACATTGATTATAATTTATTAGATATTTGTTTTATGATGGAACACACTTCGAGGGATAGTCATAGTAGTGTTGCCTGACGACTCAAACTGATTTATTTCGCTGCTTTATGTTCGCTACATACACTATATAACCAAAAGTATGTGGAACATCTCATTCCAAAATCATGGGCATTAATATGGAGTTGGTTCCTCCTTTGCTGCTTTAACACCCTTCTTTCCACTAGATGTTGGAACATTGCTGCTGTGACTTGCTTTCAGCCACAAGAGCATTAGTGAGGTTGGCCACTGATGTTGGGCGATTAGGCCTGGCTCGCAGTCGGCGTTCCAATTCATCCAAAAGGTGTTCGATGGGGTTGAGGTCAGGGCTCTTTGCAGGCCAGTCAAGTTCTTCCACACTGAACTCTACAAACCATTTCTGTATGGACCTCGCTTTGTGCACGGGGGCATTGTCATGCTGAAACGGGAAAGGGCCTTCCCCAAACTGTTGCCACAAAGTTGGAATCACAGAATCGTCTACAATTTAATTGTATGCTGTAGCGTTAAGATTTCCCTTCACTGGAACTAAGGGGCCTAGCACAAACATTCCTCCCCCACCAAACACTATACATTGGGACAGGTAAACCCAGATTTGTCCATTGGATTGCCAGATGGTGAAGTGTGATTAATCACTCCAGAGAACACGTTTCCACTGCTCCAGAGTCCAATGACGGCGAGCTTTACACCACTCCAGCCGATGCTTGCCATTGCGCATGGTGATTTTAGGATTGTGTGCGGCTGCTCGGCCATGGAAACCCATTTCATGAAGCTCCCGACGAAAAGTTATTGTGCTGACGTTCTTCCAGAAGCAGTTTGGAACTCGTTAGTGGGTGTTGCAACCGAGGACAGACGATTTTTACGCACTACTTGCTGCTGAGCCGTTGTTGCTCCTAGATGTTTCCACTTCACAATAACAGCTCTAGCAGGGCAGAAAGGTGGCATCCTATGACGGTGCCACGTTGAAAGTCACTGAGCTCTTCAGTAAGGCCATTCTACTGCCAATGTTTGTCTATGGAGAGTGCATGGCTGTGTGCTCAATTTTATACACCTGAAATACCCAAATCCACTCATTTGAAGGGGTGTCCACATACTTTTGTATATATAGTCTACTTCAGTCTGAGACTGCCATCTTTGAAGTCATTTGTGGTGATGTCAAAATGAGGTCTGTTGTACAAAACAAAGTAATCCGCGATTGGATCATCTCTAACCAGAGTATCAAAGCCAATTACAAATTTTTTCTAAATGCTGCTTTACCCTCATGTGTGTTCTGGCTCTGGCCCAACCCATCAGTTTCTGGGACCAATCAGAACAGTTAGAATGTGTTTGCGTTCTAGAAATTGTCGGGGCGATACTCAGATCCTGACTCATTGTGGAGAAGAAACTACAAGTGAAATAGCGTTTGGCCGGAGCAAGGAGTTTGGGTAGCCAGACAAATAGTACTGGTCATCATACTGTGCTCTTAATAAAACATGATTCTCGTGTTTCCTCCTTCTGCCTTCCTTCCTGCATCTTAATCGGAGGCTTTTTCCTTTCTTCTCATTCCTTTCTAGCGTCTCGAGCGCGCTCGAGCGAGAGGGGCGACGAAGATAGAGCGATATCCTGCGATATCGAGTAAAGAGCGGTGAGCGTCTCTCTCTCTCATCGTCTCTCTCTCTCTCTCTCTTCTCTCTCTCTCGTTCTCCTCTCTCTCTCTCTTCTCTCCTTCTCTCTCTCTCCTCTCTTCTCTTTGCTCTCTCCTCTCTAGAGTTCTGTCCCTTTGCAGGAGACCCATTTGAAGAGAGGTCAGGAGATGTTTGAGAAGCTGAGGAAGAACCACACACAGGTATTGGGAGATGTTTTGTGCCCATGTAGAATGTGATTTTTACGTTCCTCTTATGTTCCCCGAGCATATTTTTACGTTCCTACAGTATTCCTATTACGTTCCCCGAGCATAATTTTACATTCCTCTTATGTTCCCCCAACATAATGATGACATTCCTCTTATGGTTCCCCAACATAATTCTGACATGCCTCTGTTTCCCTAACATAATTTTCACGCTCTTCTTATCTCCCCCCCCAAAAAATTTTTAACATTCCTCTCCCTCTCTCTCCTGCAGCTGCGTGTTTGTGAGTGGGAGCGGTTGGGGACTATGTGGCTGCGAGTGGAGGAGGAGCTGCTAAGGGAGAGGGGTGTGTTTGGCCCGGGGCCGGGGGTGGTCCTGACAAGAGGCTGGGTCCAGGATGCAGCTGAGGGCCCCAACCGCACCAGGCCTCGCATCCGCAGGAGAGCCCAGCGACGCTCCAAACGGGTACTGGCTCTTACCATAGCTGTCTCACACCCAACTGTCTCTCTCTCTCTCTCTCTCTCTCTCATTACCTCTTTGTCAGCCTCTCTCTCTACGAGTCTAAAGCTTTTTTTTTCTCTCTCTCTCTCTCTCTCTCTCTCTCTCTCTCTCTCTCTCTCTCTCTCTCTCTCTCTCCATGAGGTTTTACATTGTTACGTCATTAATTAACACAGTTACAATGATTCATCTAAGACATTTCTACTTGAATCTGTACCAAAGTCCTCATGGCATGTGGACGCTGGGGAACATATTCATAAAGCAGCATCTCAAAGTATCCTAGATCAGCTTTATTAATACAGGCCCAGATAAATTAACTAGTGCCCAATTGAAACCAGTTGTTTTATGTGTGTAATGGCTGTTCTTTGAGTAGTGTGTAACATCTGTCCTCTCTGTATTGCTGTGTAGTTGGCAGATATGTGTGTGAGAAATGGTCTGCCAGAGGAGAGCAGAGGAAGGACAGAGACTGACTCAGGTAAGACCAAAGACACACACCTGACATAATATAACATGTCATTTAGCAGACACTTGTATCCAAAGTGACTTACAGTTATGCGTGCATCCATTTTTTGTATGGGTGACCCCAGTGGGAATCGAACCCACAATCTTGGCATTACAAGCACCATGCTCTACCAACTGAGCGCTTGTGCCCGCACTCATGTGTCTCTGTGTGTGTGTGTTCCAGAGTCAAGGATCCTGTTTGAGCCAGGGACAGAGGCAGGGGAGGAAGAGGAGGAGGGAGGAGAGGACTGTAACCGCCTAACCTTTTTCCCCATCCTGACTGAGACTACCACACCCCTCATTGAGACCTGCCCCCCCGAGTCTACCACCCCTGACCCCTGCTCACACACACACACCTGCAGCCACACACACATCGTACTACAGGAGCTGGAGCCTGAGGAAGAGGTGAGTGTGTGTTTGTGTGTGTCAGGTTGTATAATGGTTGAATAATGTATTTTTAGCAACCAGAAAAATACATATTTATCAGGTTTTAATCAGATCTGACCAGATATCAACCAACATGTGATGTCTTTCCTATGAGGTCTTGATCTTGTCATGAAAAATACATCTTTACCATGTTGTAAAAAAGACCAGTTGGTTGTAATCTAGTATGATGTCTTCTCAACTAGAAAACCAGTTTACAACCAGAAATGATGTCAGTAAGTTTTAATGTGCCAAAGTCCTACACTTTGAGAGAGATCTATATTTTTTATCATCCAGATAGTCTATGGGATTCCAATACCTCCCATCTGCTATCAGAATCACATCTGTTATAGTTAGCGTAATGTGTGTGTGTGTGTTAGTCAGTGGTAACCATATTAACAGGGCCGTTTAAAGCTCAGACAACCAGCAGAGTGTTTTAATAATGTTTCTGACAGAAGAATTAATAAAAGAACAGTAGGAGGTTGTCTCTTAGCCAGCTGGCGTGTGTGTGTGTGTGTGTCCTGCTGAGCTTTTGTCAGATACACAGGCCTTTACACATCCAGGACCACAGCACTATTCTTAGCGCCCCCCCCCCCCCCCCCCCCCCCCCCACACACAATCTTTGGCATGATTAGACTGCCTCTGTCGATAGTGTGATTATGGTGGTAATGTTTCTGGGGAGAAATCAATGGTATTACATTAGCCTCTCAATCAATAAGAACCCTCCTATCCTCCACTGCTCTCTACCTCTCCTCCACTCATCCAGCTCTCCTTCTCTTCCCTTCTATTTTCCACTCAGCCTTTCCTTAGTTCGCCTGATGTCCTCCTCTTTTCCTCCCTTTTTCCTCCTCTCCCTCCATTAGTTGAATCTCATCAGCTTGATAATTCATAGTCACTTTAGTTAAGGTCTCTGTAGGTTGTAAACATATTATTGTGGGGTGTTTTTCTGTTGCCAATACATAGAAGTTTTTTCTACACTGTGTGTGCGTGCGTGTGCGCGCTCGTTCATGTTTGTTCAGTGTGTTCAGACGAGAGGCTCTGATCACTTAGCAGGTTTCCTATTGTGTGTGTGGCAGTGATTAATTTCCCTAATAATCACTAGGCCCCTCTCTCTCTCTCTCTCTCCCAGTGTGTGTGATTTTATTAGTATTAATTGTGAGAGGCCTGTGGGTGCGTTGGGGCCCCATATGGTTTTTGGGTGGTGGGTCCCTTGAGGCCGAGAGAGGGAGAGAGACGGGGAGGGGGTCAGGTGCACGCACGCACGCATGCATGCACACCACACACACACACACACACACACACACACACACACACACACACACACACACACACACAGTGGGAAATGAGGGGAGACAATAGAATTAGTCACACATAATCACATTCGTAGCCGTGACTGTCTTCAGAGTCACACATAATACAAGCACCAGGGTCCATTCAGGTTCTGAGTCTTTTCTGGAGCACCGCCATCTTGGTGAAAAGGGGGACAGTCTCTCTCTTATCCATCAATCAATGTTAATAATCTCAATAATGAAGTGGTGACTGTGTCGTTTTAATCATGATGAAGACGCGTGATTAAAATGATCAATCATGTGCAGCCTGGAGTGGTGATGATGTCTTTACGTCCCATGAGCGCATAAGGGGTCTACCATGGGTTTCATGGTTTGAAATTTTACCATGGAACGTCTCTGTTAACTTAATACACCTCTCCCCTAACTGACCTAAACAACTTGTAGACCTAAGTATATGTACCAGTGGAGGCTGCTGAGGGGAGGATGGCTCATAATAATGGCTGAAACGGAGCAAATGGAATGGCATCAAACAATGTGTTTGATATAATTGATACCATTCCACTAATTCCACTCCAGTCATTACCATAAGCCCATTCTCCCCAATTAAGGTGCCACCAACCTCCTGTGATATGTACTGATATCTGTGTATATGTGTGACTGGTGGATGCTGCTGGGTGTGAATGTGATATAGGGGAATAACAATGGAAATGTAAGACAAGTTGCTGAGGTGGAAACCATATTAACAGGGCCTTTTAAAGCTCAGTCAACCAGCAGAGTGTTTTAATAATGTTTCTGACTGAAGATTATATATTTTTTAAACGTAGATGGTTGTATCAACTGTCTCCTAGCTAGTTGGCATGAGTGTGTCCTGCTGAGCTGTTGTCAGATACACAGGCATTTACACGCTTATTAATCCAGGAGCACAGCACTGTCCCCCCCCCCCCCCCCCCCCCCCCCCACACACACACACACACAAAATATTTAGCATGATTAGCCTTCCACCGACAATAGTGTGATTATGATGGTAATGTTTCTGGGGAGAAATCGATGATATGACATTAGCCTCTCAGTCAATAAACCATTAAGTTGAAACTCTAGTGGGAGGAAACTCCACACGATTCAAGGCATGAATCTTACCTAATGAAACCCATTGCGGGTGGTACTGTAAAAAGTATATATTTTACCCCATGTTACCTATTAAGGGCAGTAACTGTACATGACAAGGTAGCTTTATTCAAGTCAGGGAAATAAATACATGTATGAAAGCGTGTATTCTTATTTAAAATCGATGTAGTTCTATTTTGTCAACTTGTCTATTAACCTCCTAATGTCGATGTCTGCGCCCCCATGGAAATATAATTAGCATAACAAAAACAATCCCCATAAAAATACATCAGTTTAAGCTAGAGATATCTATTTTGCATTGGATGCGTCTCAATCAACAGCATCTGCCTATGTCACACTTCCGCATCTGCGGTGAAACGTGACTAAGCTAGAGCGATGTTTGTCAGACCATGAGACATCCCGAAAATCGGTCTTCTCACAAAATCATCTGTAGCGTCCAAATGGTTTGACAAACTATTACCCCCTCTATTGAAAGATGAGACCCTCACAAACACGATGGTGTTCTCTGTTTTGCTCTACGACCCCCACAAGCGTCTTGGGACTCGTCTGAATTTGGTACAGCCAATCTGCCAACTTCTGTCTGTAGCTTCCGAACAGTTTGGGCTACACACTACTATGATTGAAGGTGAGACTCTCACGAACACGTACATGTCAGTTGTCTTGCTCTAGGATACACACAGGCCTCACAAGACTTGTCTGAAGGTCCCCCGGTACCAGTTGAAAAAATGAATGGAAGTGCTGTAAATACAGTATGGAGACTGTTTAGTGCCAAAAATAAGGGGTTAAATACATGTAAAAAGTTTCCTGATCTTTCTTATGTCTGTCAGATATAGGACCGACACTTCAGACCTATCATGATGCAACACTGACTGTGTATATAACCTTTATTTAACTGGATGGGTTGACTTTTCATTAACAATTATGATCTGTTTTGTCCTCTCTCCCCCCAGGTTAAAGCGAAGATGTGTGTGGTGGTGGTCAGTGGGCTGTCTGTAACAGAGGGGCTTCTGTTGTTTGGGAGAGACAGTCTGTACATGTGTGAGGGCTTCACCCTGACCCCCGCTGGAGACGTCTGCTGCAGAAAACACCACCCCTCCAGGTACCGTGTGTGCGTGCGTCCGTACGTGTGAAAAATGTATGCACTCACTAACTGTAAGTCGCTCTGGATAAGAGCGTCTGCTAAATGACTAAAATGTAAATGTAAATGTGTGTTTGTGAGAGAGAGAGATGAGTTGGACACTGTCTGTGTGTACTTACATGTAGGGAGGTTACATACTATACTATTGAATATTAATGATTATGAACTGTTCTTCCCACCCTGTGTCTTTCTCTCTCTCTCCCCCAGTGTGCATGATGCGTTCGTCTCCAGTATGTTGACTAAAGACATATCTTCATCCAGCCCCAGCTGCAAACGGTGGCCCTACCAGGACATAAGAGACGTCCACTTTATGCGTTTCCTTCTAGAGGTGAGAGTTCACATAGAGGTAACCCCACCCCCCCAAATCTGAAATGGCACCTAATTCCCTATATAGTCCACTTTTTGGAGTAAAAAAATAATAATTTTAAATATATTTCTCTGTCTGCATGTTGGTGGGTTTCATGTGTCTATTAGAAAGTTGTTGCAATGTT